AGCCATGTCAGTTTCTACCATTTCCTTGTTTCATATTTTTAGCCACTCGCTGGTCAAAAGAATATCTTCCTAGTTCGAAATTAAAAATGAATGCTTTGTAAACTTCTCTACGACATTTGTTCTCATATTTAATGAAATAAGTACCTCTAAAGCCAGGCTCGCCATTTTTTCTTACACACAAAGCAGACCCTAAGTTTTCTGCCGCCATGAAGAACATTTATATGCGCAATGTGGCCCCTAGCCTGGAACCTCAACTGGCACACAGCCACACACCGGATCTGGAACTAAGTATAGGATACATGGCTAAAGTTGCTGCAACAATGGCTGGTTTCTTGTACCGCTCCTATATCGTCCTGAGTACGACGATAAACTACACCCGCGTCCTGAGTAAGACGATAAACTACGTCCAACAGCAGGAGGTTTTGAGGAGCGTGGAACCACCTCTTAATTACTGGTGTTCCCAGGTCCACCCTGACTTGCGGTGTTAACAACTTTATTGTCCAAGCTATGGGCAAATAGTTAACATCCAAACTTGTGTAAAAAAAGGTTTTAATACCAGAAATATATTTTGTAATAATAAAAAATAATAAAATAAATTATTACTAGCAATAATTTTTGAAGGAAAATTATTATCAGCAATACTTTTTTAAAAATACCAGCAATACAAACAGCTATACATTCTTTGAAAAAAATATAACCGGCTATAGATTTCTTCAAGGAAAAATATCCCCAGAAATATATTTTTGAAGAAAAACATATTACCAGCAATAAAAATTTTGTCGGCATTAAATAATCCATTGAGGTTGATATGCCGTAAAACAAAACAAACCAAACCAAATCAAACCACTCCTATAAAGTACCTGACTTCTAATGTCATGTTTTGTCTTTATAAGAACCAGCTCAGCTCCAATTTGAATATTGCTGCCACATCCACGCCCAAAGCTGTCCAAGCCTTTCCAATTCCATCAGAGTTCAAAAGCATTTACACCGCTTTGTGGGTGATGAATTCTTGTTAATCCTTCAAAGTCTTTCCCACAGTAGAAACGTTGCAAGCCTCTTGTTACCCTATCACTATTTTCTTGGCGGGTGTTTGGGCAAATAACATTCCTTGGTTTCACCAATCCAGGCCGACATGTATACTTTATAGTCCACTAATGAGAGTAAGTTTCCCTCAGACAGCTTCTTCCCCAGTAATGTTGCGATGTGACCCGAATTCCCGATAGGATGCTTCCAACACCACTACACAATTGACCTTTTCAGATCTAGGGTCAAACATCATTTGTCATATATATCCTCATAATGTGTAACGGTTGTTCCCTTTCTTCAAGCTCGTCCTGGGTAAGACATTAGACTACATCCGCGTCCTGGGTAAGACGTTAAACTACATCCGCGTCCTGGGTAAGACGTTAAACTACATCCGCGTCCTGGGTAAGACGTTAAACTACGTTCAGAAGCAAGGCCTCTGATCAGGAGATTTTGACGAGCGTGGAACCACCTCTTAATTGCTTGTATTCCCAGGTCCACCCTGACCCGGGGTGGTAGCACCTGTTAGGGTCCCAGCTATAGGCAAATAGTTAACTATTACAAGCAATATTTTTTGAAAAAAATTATTGCCAGCAATACAACTTTGAAGGAAATATATTACCAGAAACAGATTTTTGACAAAACAAAATATTACCTGCAATAAAAGTTTTTGTCAGCATTAAAACAAAATAAACCAAAACCAAACCTTTCTACAAGCCCTCACAAAAAATCTCGTTTAGTAACAATCTTTAGTGGTTTTTGGTCCTGAACAGTATTAAAAAAACTTATCGAAATTTTTCATCAATCTATCCTTATATAACTACAATTCACTTGCGTCTTAATGGCAATAGCGTCTTGATTCGCGTGAAATGATTTTACAAACATACCAGAAAAATATTTGGAAGCTCACTGTGGAGTTTAATCATTATGCAGGATAATGACTATTTTTCTTCTTAGAGTGTGGGTCATCCTGTTACTACATCCAGCACCAAGGCTTACAGGCAACTATTGTGGGTGAGTATATATATATATATATATATATATATATATATATATATATCGATAGTGCATAATAAGTACTGCTGGTAATAAACAGTACTAGATATGAAATACGTCCTGGCTATGACGATTAAATACATCCGGCAACAGGAGATTTTGAGGAGCGTGGAACCACCTCTTAATTGCCGCTCTGACCCGGGGTGGTAGCATCTGTTAGGGTCCCAGCTATGGGCAAACAGTGAACCCCAAAATTGGGGTAAAAAAAAAACTATGAAGGTGTAGAAACACATTTTTATATGGAATGTGCCAGCAATAGATTTTCAAAGTAGAAAAAGTACCAGTAATACATATTTTTTTAAAGGAATAATTGCCAGCAATACATTTGAAGAAGAAAAAAAATTACCAGCGATACATTTCTGTAAAAGAAATTACTAATGTTCCCCAAAAAATTAGAATTTGGCATTAAATGACCCATGAGAAGTTGATATGCTGCTAAAAAAAATTCACATCATCCTGTTAAGATCCTTTGTTGGGGGCTTCCCCAAAATTCATGAAGAAGAATGATCCATTGTCCTACTATGATGATCCAATCCGTTTTGGATGGGGCGGATTTGACACACTTGGTCGAAAACATATCTTTTAGGTTTATGATCGCTCAAGGATATTTGTGTAAGTGAATGTAACAAATCCGCCTTGAATTCGAACTCGGCTCTCCGATTTCTCATTCCGAGCCTTTATCCATTACACCGCCAGCACACCCAATCTTAACGTGTTCCCAAACGGTCACCATCTATCTACTGACCAGTTTCGAAGTTGCTTAACTTCGGTAACCGGACTGGAAACTGTGTTTTAGACTGATACATACCGTAAGCTAATGACTTATGTTACCTTAATATAAGTTACTTTATCTTAATTGCATGCGTAACTTATTTAGATATTTAATTTTTTTTACTGAGTCTAATAAGCGAATTTCTACTGGTTTCTGACTTAAAGTGCAACAAATAAGCAAGAAAAATGTCAAACCACTTCTAAAATATCTTTAATATCGTGCAAAAGATAACAATAAAAACAACTCCGTATCATACCGACATAAAGCACTCAATTAAGAACATGTTCAATAATAAACCGATTCGACATTTCATACTAATTCCAGACATACGTCAACTACTTATTTTGAAGTAAGGCCTCTATTTTATTGCTTCAGTTCAGGATTCATGTGGTACAACACAAACTGTTTCTCTCACGCCTATTTATTAGCTCAACCAATACTAAAAACTAATTCAAAAACTTATGCTTGCTTTCTTTTTATTGTTATTTGAAATGTCTAAGGAATATAAATCATATCATCTATTGATTTGTCCATTGAAACGAAGTAGATAAGAAAAGAAATATAGAAATATTTCAAGGGTTAGGCTGATTAAAGAGAAAACGAGAGAGAAAAAGATTTGTCCCAGGGGCATTTGCAAAAGAGGAATTTCTACTTCCGAACTCTGAAAATAAGTCTTTCACTCGTGAGTCGCTCATAAAACAAGCAAAAAACAATCTTAAATCACGAGTGTGGGTTTCTCATTACTTTCTCTGACGTGAGAAAAGTTTGATGAGAAATTCTAGTAAGGTTTTATTTTATGGCCACCAGTGTCAGCAAAGGCGGGGGTCCGAAGTTGTAAATGTTGGCTGTGTTTGTTAAGTGTTTTGTCCGATGAAGACCGCCATTTTTATGCGACATAGGGCCAGATGTTGACCTCCATAAACGGCGCTTCTCTTTTCTTACTGGTATGAGCTTGATTCTCTCGACCGTCGTTTGGGATTTTTGGGGTTTTATGGCTCCATGTGGTATTTATTTGTATGCTAGGCCAACTGAGCAGGATCTCATAGCCCAGTATATGTACCGATTGCTTCTGACCTATGACTTCCCAGCATCATTTCCAGTCTAGTATTTTTACTTTATTTCAAATAGAATATTTTTAACACGCAATTTTTCAAACTGAAATCTTTCCCATTTAGCTTCGTGTCGTATTAATCAAAGCAAAGTAAACTTGGTACTTAATACTCTGGTAATTTGCTTGTAAATAAGAGTGCTATAGGATGGGAAATAATTCCTCAACTCCAAGGATGCGTAGACGCTTTTGAACTCTGTCAAGGATGGAAAATGATGATTAAGCAGCTTCAGTTCAGATATAGCAGCTATTGTCCATTTTTTAGCTGATCTGTAAAGAAAGTGGGTTGTACGAGGAGGTAGATAATTTATTTCATTGCTAGGCAAATTTGAATCACTTTCATCCAATATTAGTCTATGAAAGGAAATTCTCATACTAAATTAAAAGAAAATCTTTCCATTAACTCTAAGAGCATATATAGATGCGCGCGCAGTATAGCGGCTATCGGCGCGGAAATTCAGATTGGCGTGTCAAGCCCAAATTCCAACCAACGTTGTTGCGTTCGCTTTCACTCAAGTAGCCTTCAAAAGACGGGAATCTATTCCCCCCTCAGATAACGGAAGACAGGGCGGTGCCAATATTCTATGTGAAATTATGTAAAATGACACTGGGGAGTCAAAGGTCTAAAGCTATCGGTATATAAACTAGGCTATGAGACGCTGCTCAGAAGGCCTAGCATAGAAATAAATACCATATTAACGTTTATTAAGGTTGAACGTTTTGCTGTAGTGAATAACGGGTCGGACTGAGTACGTTACGTGCAAATACCTTTAAACACCAGGGTAGAATGGGTCCTATATAGAGTCTACCGCAGAAAAAATGGCAGCTTACTGCGGAAATATCTTCTAATGTCAGTCATGAATCGAAAGAGACATGATCGCCCAAGCGTGTATCGTGAATGACTGACTGAAAGGATAATATCAACTTCAAACTGGGTATTTGCGCGTAAGTGAATATAACGAACCCAACTGGAATTTGAACTCGGCTCTCCGATTAACAATTCGGAGCCATTATCCATTACACCACTCTCACGCCCAATCGTACAGCATCTGATATTCCCAAGCGGACATCCATCTAGGAACTGGCCAGGCTCGACGTTGCTTAACTTCGATGATCAAACGGAACCGGTATTTCAAAGTGATGTGGCAGTAAGACAGTAGCGAAGGCTAAGCTATCTAAACTTGTTCGGCAGTCACTCTAGGAAGTGGATAATTCTAAATTCAAAATCAGTTTTAATTGAAACTAACAGTTCCACCTTGTAAAAGGCCTATTTTCTACGGAAACTGCAGCAATAAATCTGGTGAAGATGTGGTCCTATACTCTACAGAGTGCGAGAAAAATTTGTCAATGGTAAAATAATGCAGGAGAATAAATGAACATTAGTAGAAATATTCTGTTAAACGCGCGGGTAAAACTGAGAAATTATTATTTGAGGAGAGGTAAATTTTGTAAAGATTTAAGAGTAAAATGGTGGCAAAGAATACGAGTGACATGAGGAAATTAATACCAGGAAGTGTATATGTTATACCATATTATATATTTGTACCACGGTGATAGTCCAAGGTAGAACCAATAAAGATGAACTCGAACACAGGTATGGAATAACACAGATATATTACAAACAGGAATATATACAGAGAAGTAAAAGTGTTAGTACGAACAATCAGGTTTAGTAGAGAAAACAATGTAGTCTCGACCAGTATCATTATTCCAATGTCTTGCAGTAATTGTCTGAACGCGACTCTGTTTCGGACTGCCTCTGACTCGACTCTTGACACGACTTGAACTACTGACTGACTGACTCGACGATATTCAGTCACCCCCCCACGAGGGCGTCATGTGGCACAAGGCCGGTTTAACGTGGGATCTCCGAGCCTGTTGGATCTCCGAGGCCGTGGGCTCGGCCAAAAATATGCCCATGGAACCCGTATAAACGGGTTCAGGGTCGGTTTACCTCCCCGAAAGAGAATCCGCCCTTCGGCGTAGCCTCCTTCGGGTTCCTCCCCACCCAAAGGCAGAGAGTTCAACTGATCAGCCAGTCAACTGACTGACTCGACTCCATTCCTACTCCTGAGGCACAGTATTTATTAAGTATGGAATAGTCCATTATTATTATTATGGGTAAGATCCCATAACAGTATACATATTTTGGAAAGTACGGTGGAAATAAATCTACTTATTATAAACAGTCATTATTTTAAGAACCTTGACTTTGTTTTCATGAGTAATCTACCCTTTGTGAGTTATTTAAAACTATTTAAAGCCGAAACATATTGTATTTGGATTGTAAGAACAATTAAATATTGCTGCCAGGAGTGTTTGTTGATTGTAATATTTTTTACCCCATTCAACGCAATAAAGACACTTTGACATTCTATCTAGATATTTTTCGAAAGAATCTGTAGTGTTATCGGCCTTGTCCTGGCATCTCGGCTTCAGTCTCTTTTTCCACCGCCGTAGTGTATTTTTACTGCACTTTTTTCTAAATATTTCCATGGTAATTGTTCTGTTGAGGTTGCTTTTCGGTTCATGAATTTAAAGAAAGTACTAAATTTGACAGGTAGATCACTTTATTTTACTGCTGTTTAATCATCATTTTCCATCCTTGACAGAGTTCAAAAGCGTCTACAAATCCTTGGATTTGACGAATTATTTCCCATCCTATAGCACTCTTATTTACAAGCAAATTACCAGAGTATTAAGTACCAAATTTACTTTGCTTTGATTGATACGACACGAAGCTAAATGAGAAAGATTTCAGCTTGAAAAATTGCGTGTTAAAAATATTCTATTTGAAATAAAGTAAAAATACTAGACTGGAAATGATGCTGGGAAGTCATAGGTCAGAAGCAATCGGTACATATACTGGGCTATGAGATCCTGCTCAGTAGGCCTAGCATACAAATAAATACCACATGAAGCCATAAAAAAAACAAAAAAAATGTGTGATGTAACCGCAAGTTCTATTCTAATAGTTACTTCTTTCGTACATCTCGATTGTGATCTCTCTACCGGCTTCTTGCTTCCTTATCTACTACGACCTTCACAAATTTAAATGCAATACTATCGCCATTTTCTGTCTCCTCGGAACCTGTTCTTTTTTTGTTCACTTATTCTTACATTCTCAATAACAGCTTGCATCTTAGTGGCTTTATGGCCTTGCCTGAGGTGAAACGATTAAAAACACTCTAGGGTCATACAAATAAAGTAAAAACAAAGATCGTAGACTGAGCGACAGATATTCAGCTGAGTAAAATATTTTCAACCGAGCGGAAGACATTATCTGAACGGAAATAGATGGCTATAACGTAAAGAGTCAAGAAATCTGTGATATAAAATGGTTACGAAAAGCTGGGAAATATCCCCAGTGGAAAAATCATTTTGCCAGTGGCAAAATGCTGTAAAATTAAAGCCCAAGTGGCAGACATTCTTTGAATTACTGTGGAATCTAATTTTTGAATTTTTTTTATTCTGTTTAATCAGGGGAAATAAATACCGGAAACATAATACGTAAAACCTCTGATATCGAGTGAAAAAAATGTTAGAGAATGCCAACCCGGGGGCGAGGGCATATATTGTGTTTAATACATCTGAAAAGAGAAAGCTATAAAATGAAAAACGAAGGCAAAAACATTCCATGAAATATAATGAAATCAATGGCTGAAGAAAACGCATAAACACTCAGCAGAACTATCCAGGAATAAATGCTGGGAGATAATAACCGGATTCAAGGCCTTTCTGTGAAATGCAGTGGAAGGAAAACCTGGCAGAAAATACCTTAGAACACGCATTTCGGTGCAAAATCAATGTAGAGAAAATCCCTTCTATATTTAGTACAAGACAGATATTGGGACTGTCATTGCAATGTTCAAATATATTTCCAGTGGAACCAGTGTTAGGACGATATGATACATTCGATGCTTCGGCCAAAAACGATAAACAGATAGATAATGAAGAGACTGAGATAGATAGATAGATAGATAGATAGATAGATAGATAATGAAGAGATTGAAATGTACACACACATAGATAATGAAGAGACAGACAGATAGATAGATAGATAGATAGATAGATAGATAGATAGATAATGAAGAGACTATATATATATATATATATATATATATATATATATATATATATATATGTATGTGTGTATATATATACACACACACAGATCGATAAATATATACTGAAAAGACTAAGATAGATCGATAGATAGATAATGAAGTGACTAAAGGATAGATAGATAGATAGATAGATAATGAGATAGATAGATAATGAAGAGATTGAAATATACAAAAACACGCATACATATATATAGAGATAACGAAGAAACATATATATAGACTGATAATAGACATATATATATATATATATATATATATAGAGAGAGAGAGAGAGAGAGAGAGAGATAGACAGACAGACAGACAGACAGACAGACAGACAGATAGATATATAAACAGATAAATAGTGAAGAGACCGAGATAGATAGATAGATAGATAGATAGATAGATAGATAGATAGATAGATACCAATGTACTCTTTGCTTGGTCTATATTCCATGATATTGCTCCCATTTAATACACAATATTTAATTTAGCACACAAGAAAATATCATAAACAAAAAATGTTATCGCTTTTCTCACTGAACTATGTTGACATTGCCAGTGAGAATTTCAGCCGAGAGACAGTAACCACAGCGAGCCTAGAAAGGCTACAAGCTAAATCTGCACATAGGACTGAACAGAGGGCATCGGCTGTCGTCTGACCTGCACTGGCATGTGTTCTCCCAGGTCTACTTTCCCCATGATAAGCTACTCATGACTGAATATCTATCGAGACATGTGGAGAGTGTTGGTCGGTGTTCGGTTTCCAGAGACCCTACGACCCAATACGGTCATGGGTCTGATGATGATCGGATTGGCACTTTTCTTTTCTTTTGCATTTGTTTATTTATTTATTTTGTACGCAGCGCGGGGATAAATTTCTAAGTTCGGCGTTGGTATCTGAAACAGTTTAAGCACATTTGTGCAAACTGAGGAGTTCAATCAGAATAATCGACTTTATAACAATGGGTTTTGTTTTCTCTCCGCTTTACTTAGTTATAAGTTAAATTGTGTATTGACCACTAAACTTTGCATCCAGTTCTTTTCTTTCCGTTTTATTTCTTGCTTCCATTGCTCAAGTTTCTCCAACTCTGAAATTTACATTTATCACATTCTAAAGATTTTTACTCGTGTTTCCTAAGCAAATTATACATAGCAGACTGAACGAATCAGCTTAACTGTTAAATGCAATGTTTTGTTTACCGATTAAGTGTTGTTCAAGCAATGAATTCATACTCTCGTTTTTCACATTTTGCTGTTTATGGCGGACAGCTGTCGAAATTCTTGATCCAATGACTATCACGATTCAATACTATAATCAATAGGTAAGGTATGCAAGTGTTGATCTTTTGTAAATATAATTAATTCGATATTTCATACAAGAAAAAAGTCTAGACTGAAATACACTATGAAAATAAAATGACGTAAAGAAATTAAACATTTTGTAGACTTCTAAAAATATAAGTGTTATGGTCCGGTTCCTTATACTACGGTGATAGTCCAAGGTAGAACCAATAAAGAAGAACTCGAATACGGACATGGAATAACACAGATATATTACAAACAGGAATATATACAGAGAAGTAGCAAGTGTTAGTATGAACAATCAGGTTTAGTAGAGAGAACAATGTAGTCTCGACCAGTATCACTATTCCAATGTATTGCAGTAATTGTCTGAACGCGATTCTGTCTCGGACTGTACTACTGTACTGTACTGATGCGGCATTCACCCTGGGCGGATTGAGCCGGCTTCTTCCTGTTATGAGAAGAAGATTCTTGGGATAAATTACAGAAGTAGGGTACCCAGGCCTACTCGAATAACGTTCTTGCTTGCCGCGGGATTCCCACAGACGCAGAGACAGGAACGACCAGAAGCCGCCGGTTACCGATGCAGACGCTCCTTGGATTTTCACCAGAGCCCTTGTTAGACGGCGTGTCTCGGACTGCCTTTGACTCGACTCTTGACTCGACTTGAACTACTCACTCCACTTGAACTACTGACTGAGGCGCAGTATTTATTAAGTATGGAATAGTCCATTATTATTATTATTATGTGTAAGATCCCATAACAATAAGAAAATTGTAAAACCTGCTTCTGCGTTTTAAAATAATTATAATTTCATTTTGAAAAAAAATACATATTTATGATTATAACGGATCGAAGATAATTTACTCTGCTAATACAGCCGCTTACTCAGAAAAAATATGGAATAAGACTAGATTATACTAGATTTTCATATTTTAATATTCTTGTATCATTACAAACTATTGTTACCCTATTGGTTGATATAGATGTTATTATATATACAACGTTTCTACCACATACCCTGTGGTCATCATCAGGTGTCTATTGATTGGCTGATATACGAGATCTGTTGGTTACTGTGACATTATGTCCCTGTGATATCAGTTATTGTTTGTTCCTGCTGAATTGAGGCATCACGACCAGATCCCAAAATTGAACTCATACCCGATGACATTAAGCCATATAAAACCAATTCCCATATCTACCGTACCAAAAATCATTGGAGCCATTCATATGCAATGTCAATATCCTATATCACAAGGACGTACTTATTTGGGGACACCTACATGCTTATATTTTCATTTATTTTTTGAGCAATTCACTGATATAAATTTTGGTAATAATATCAGTGAAGCTTCAATAAATTATAAACTGTTATACTCTTAATTTCTCAAGGTGTCTGTACGCTATATATATATATATATATATATATATATATATATATATATATATTATGGAGTTTAGCGATCCAATCTACGCGTTGTTAGCCGTGGTCAGTTTTATTCATTTTTGGGTTGAGAAGGCTGGTGGTGTTTTTGTTTTGTTTTTTATTTATTTACTTATTTTTGTCTCTGAGAATGAAGTCAAATTTTTGTTGCAGACAGACGAACCCAACTCCTCACCAAAGCCTACAGGGGTGTGGGTGAGGGTATATATATATATATATATATATATATATATATATATATATATATATATATATATATATATATATATATATATATATATATATATATATATATATATATATGTATATATATATATATATATATATATATATATATATATGTATATATATATATATATATAGAGAGAGAGAGAAAGAGAAAGAGAGAGAGAGAGAGAGAGTGCCCAGCCACCTGACGAGACCTAACGGTTGAAACCACTCTAGTGCCGTAGGATGTGATTTTTTGGCCTCATTTTTATATTGGCTTGCTCTGAATGTCTGTTGCTTTCAAGCTACTGCACTGATGTAATTTTTAATACGTCCGTTTATTTTTGCACGGTGATATTTTAGTGTTTTATTATATATATATATATATATATATATATATATATATAGAGAGAGAGAGAGAGAGAGAGAGAGTACTGGTGGTGATAAAACAGTGTTAGATATGAAATGCGTTCTGGGTATGACGATAAACTACATCCGGCAGCAAGGCCTCTGGTCGGGAAGTTTTTAGGTGCCTGGAAGCAGCACTTTGTTGTTTTGCACACATTCACCCTGACCCGGAGTGGTAGCATCTGTTAGCCTTCTTCTATCTATGGGCAAATATCTAACCATCAATCCGAGGTCAAAACACAATGAAGGTGAATGAATATTTTTTTTTTTTTGTAGTGGAATTGCCAGCGGTGCATTTTCAGAGTTAGAAGAATTGCCAGCAATACATTTTTGAAAAAAAATGACCAGTATTTCATTTTTTGGAAAAGAAATTTCTAATGTGCACAAGAAATTTAAATTTCGACATTAAGTTAACTATAATGCCGCTAAACAAACCAACAAATATGAAATACTTGTCGTCTGGTGGATTTGAAATTTCAGCCCACTCTGAATAGAACTCTACATTTCCTCTATTAGTTCGTATACCACATTGTGTTACTGATATTTTTGCGATGAATGGTGATAGTGTATATGAGCCTGGTTAAATAAGTGAAATTTCAATGCCTTTTCTAAGTAAATCTTTTTTTTTAATCAGACTAGCATACTATTAGATCGAAATTGTGGTCAGATGTCTTGCGGTTAACTGAGTATCGTTATCTTACCTTTTTTTCGTATATTATTCAACATCCCCCAAAACTTAAAGAAACAATTAAACGCAAAACGTATTGGCTAGTATATTTTCGGAAGATAATTCTTTTTAATCATCCTCCCACCAAAAATGGCAATGAAACCCATTAGGATGCAAGGCAAAGGGGCAGAGATGACAATAAAAGAACAATTAAAATAATTACCGTGAAAATATTTATCAAAGAAGCAAAGGGAAGCCGCATTAAGGACGTGGAAATGTGACTGAAGTCAAGATGCCAAGTCAAGACCGATAACATTGCTTCATCTTGTTTATATTTTGTCAAAAATCTTCAAATATAAAAGAGAAGAACCAGATATACGTGGTATCAATATTCGATGCACAGAAGTCATCTTTTGGTTGTTAGCACCAGTGATGTTGATGGAAAGCAAAATAGCTTCTTGAAGGTGATTAATAGAGAGCAGTTTAGCTTTCGAGTCGTTAAAATTAACAAGCGTCTCTGTGCCACAATGAAGAACATATGTTCGAGATCAGCTGTCAATTTAATTTTATCGAAACAATCATATTTACTATTAAAACAAGAGTAAATAATTGCGCCACCATAGCTAATGAGTGGGGAATTAATGATATCAAGAAGGTCGATGATGAAAGTAAGGAACAGAGTACGTCTAAGAATAGAGTTCTGGTAAATGTCCACATTAATGCAAAGAGATCAAGAAGAGTTGCCATTCAAGACAACTTTCATTAGTTGTTTTGATAAGAACGATTGAATCGAATCAATGAAACTGCCAGAAATACCATAACCTTTCAACTTTCAACCTTTCAAACGCCTTCGAAATATCTATTAGGTTGGTGCAAAAATAATGACGTAATAATGTCGTTTTTGACGTACTTTTCTACGTCAAGAAACGACATTCTTACGTCATTATTTTTTGCACCAACCTAATAAAAGAACAGCTCGAGCTTCACCATTTAAACTAAAGCTTGAGAGACTCTCAGCATTGCATCAGAATTTGACGTAGGGTAGAGAATGATATATTGTTTGTCTGAAAGAATCGTTATGAGATACTTAACAGTGAAAGAGTTGATAGTAGGAGTTTGACAAATAGATGTGGAAGACTAATTGAACGATAGTTCGAAAGATAAGACGGTTCGAAAAACCTCTTAAAAATAGAACCGGCAGAAGAGGATTACCAACAATCTGGAAATTAAAAAGCCGCAAAGCATCTATTGTAGAGCTTAGAGGAAAACGGGTCTAGTTTAAAGCCACATTTCTTAAGGACAATTTAGCGATAACATTGAGAATACATGTCTCGTGGAGATCAAGTTTGGAGATGATATCGGAAACCATAGACGGATTTATATAGATATCACACAATAGAGACTTAGTTCTAAGCGGAAAGTCAGACAAAAGAACTCATCAGACGAGTAGAATTGGAAGAGAATTTGCGGGAAAAGTATCCTGCTTTATCGGCAGAAGATGGTAGCCTTTCAAATTGATAAGAGAGAGAGGAGGTATCGAAGGTTTAGCCTTATTTAACACATTCCTATAGAGCTACCTGTAGTCGTGAGAACCAAACTTGTGAGGGACTATACGGTGACATACTCTATCAGTGAACAACGGTTTAGCCGCGTTAAGGCGTCTGTTGGCATAGATGCTATCACGTTGTCATAGACGAAAGGCTGTGGCGGTTGAACAGGCAGGCGTGAACCAAGGAGATGATTGTGGTTTTATCTGATATTTACAAGAAAGCAACACACGATGTCGACTTTCACCCAAGCAGAAACTGCAGAGCCACTATTTTCAGTAGGAAGACTAAAGATTTCACTCTAAGGGGCATCGCGAGGAGATAGATAGATAGATAGATAGATAGATAGATAGATAGATAGATAGATAGATAGATAGATAAGGATTAGACTGAAATATATATGTATAGATAGATAATGAAGAAAATGAGATAGATAGATAATGATGAGAATGAAATATGTATGTATAGATAGAAAATGAGATAGATAGATAGATAGATCATTAACACTCTACGATAGATAGATAGATAGATAGATAGATAGATAGATAGATAGATAGATAGATAGATAACAATGAGACTGAAATATGTATGTATAGATAGAAAAATGAAATGAGATAGATAGATAGATGGATAGATAGATATTAATGAGACTGAAATATGTATGTATAGATAGATAATGAAGAAAATGAGAGAGATAGATAGATAGATAGATAGATAGATAGATAGATAGATAGATAGATCATTAACACACTACGATAGATAGATGGATAGATAGATAGATAGATAGATAGGTAGATAGATAGATAGATAATGAGACTGAAATATGTATGTATAGATAGATAATGAAGAAAATGAGATAGATAGATAGATAGATAGATAGATAGATAGATAGATAGATAGATAGATAGATAGATAGATAGAGACCAGTGTACTCTTTGCTTGGTCTATATTTCATGATATTGCTTCCATTTCATATATAGTATTCAATTTATCGCAAAAGAAAATATCATAAACAAAAATGTTATCGCTTTCTCATCGAATTATGTAGGCAATGTCTTGTGTGATAGTTGGTTCTTACCAGCGTGGATTTCAGCCGAGAGAGAGTAATTACAGAAAGGCTACAGGCTAGATCTGCACAAATCTGGTAGCAAAAAAAAAAAATTATTTTGTGAAATGGGAGTTCTTGATCCAGGCGTGAACAAGGCAAAGTTATATTTTTATTCCGAGATTTTTGTGCAAGTACAAAGGTATATGACGTATGCATATGTCAGTTCTCTGGGTTCATTTTTCTATTTATTTAAGAAATGGGACCCAAGATAAACCTTTCTATGATCCTGGATTGTGATGAAAGCAGTGATGGCACGTACGCTGAATTCCTTCGAAAAATACAGTATGTGGAATTAATAAATACTAAACACTTCAGACACCTCAGATCAGCTATAACAAAAGAAATATAGGAGTAAAAGAAATTGACCTTGGAGTAGGCTGTCCCAGAAGTATTTTAACCCAACACCCTAAATTCCTACAAAACCAAAACATAAACTTGAAAACTTGAGTCATGTTCATAAATAGCCTCGTCAGATCGAGAGATTCATATGTACGTCATGCATGAGTCCAAACCCGTTTAGAAATTTCTAAACTATCAGCTGTATACAATCGCTTCCTAAAATCAATGGTGAAAAAAAGCTTTGAGTGAGTAAAGCCTGAAGGTCTTGGCAAAAATAATCCTTCTTTGAACGTTGTGGACTGGCGCTACATAATCATAAACAAAAATCTGTACCAAATAATACGATAAGAAAACAGCAAAATAAAAGATAATAAAATAACATACAGTAATATAAAAAATAAAATGAAACAAAATCTGATAATATTAAACGTTTCTCTACGGCCAAGAAACCATTCACCGAACAGTACTGTTTTGGGGTGAAATTTATTAAATCTTTCGCTGAAAACACAATTTTTAGAACACGGGTTTCTCATATCCAGCAGGTGTTATCGCTCTTTCCACTATTGGTGGGATCCCCTTCCAACCGACACATGGATATCAATATAACTCAAAGAGAAAATAATGATATAATCAAGATATTAACATTACACACCACTACAAAAAAGGATTGGAAGGGGACCCCACCAATAGTGGAAAGATCGATAACAGCTACTGAACATGAAAAACTCGTGTTCTAAAAATTGTGTTTTCAGCGAAAGATATAATAAATTTCACCCCAAAACAGTACTGACTGTTTGGTGAATGGTTTCTTGGCCCTAGAGAAACGTTTAATATTACCAGATTTTGTTTCATTTTATTTATTTTTATATTATTGTATGTTATTTTATTGTCTTTTCTTTTGATGTTTTTTTATCGTGTATATATCTGAAGTTTGGAACTTCTACTGACTGGTCAGATATGTAAGTTTAGAATTTGTAAAGAGATGTTTTTCCTTCTTATCTCCTTAACTTATTTAATTTGTAGGAAAGATTGGAATTTATTTCTTCATCTATCTCTAAATGTATCAGCTATTTATATTTTTTGTTTGTTAATCCTGCATTCTGTTGGTGTCAGCTCCGCTTCATCTAAACACCTGCCATCCATCCAGGGATGCTAAGAGCGTAATATTATTAATAAATGCCCAATATTATAAGAAAATTTTCAGAACTTGTCTTCCAGAGTCAAAATTTCGCAGACGCTGTCCTCTTTTCAAATTTGGACCAGAACAGGACTACCCTGATTTGCTCCCTGATTTGCTACCCAGCTGTACTGCCCATTGACAGCATTTTCGCCTGATTCCATTTCATCGGAGAAAGCGCATTAAAAGACTTTTTTTTCTCAGGTATATGAATGACGTTTCCAACATAGCTGTCAGTCGACAAACACGCTTTCGATGGTCGTTGATTTTGAATGCTTACGAATTTAAACTGATGGAACCTTATCCCATCAATATAAGCGGAGGATCTTTATATTTTCCACGCAAATAGTGAACGAAACATTTGCCTTTTAAGAAATAATGCGTTTATTTACAAAATGTTTGCAATAAAATTACATTTAAAGACAGATTACCTATTCTTTCCTGTTATTATTTTTTTGATTTTATCTTATTTATTTATTTTTATTTTTTTATTTATTTGCTTTATAGAATCATTTACGAAGTCTTTCACTTGAGACCTAATGTAAATAAAGATTTTGGCAAATTATCGATACTGGTAGTGATAGTATGTTGGCAGTACACGTTAACGTAAATACGAACCATTGATTTTTTTCAAATATCTCTTTTCCTAAAAGATATACTCTTTTCCAAAGCCAGCATATACGACTGTTATTTGTTAAATAAATAAAAGAACAACACCTTCTATTATCTAAAATAAATAAATACATAAAATATTATCAAATTAAAATAAAATAATTTATAATAATTACATAAATAAAAATGTAAATAAACATAAAAAAATAGAGAAAAAATCAACAATAACAAAATTTGCTCACTTTCGTTTATTAGGCATCACTTGACATCGTATGTCAGTTAACAATCTGCAAGAAAAGGGTTTCCAATTATGGCCCGCAAGAAACACCCGCTTCCCTGCCAAATATATTACATATACGGATTTCGCTGATGTGCTTTTCAGTCAGTCTCTAGAGAATGCGCATGCTCTCTTAAAATCTCTTGAGCAAGCCTCCAACTGCGGAGGTCTCTATCTCAATGAGTCAAAAAACTGAATACATGAACAGATGTACTACCAACAACGACCATCCTATAAAATCCCTTAATAACACTAATTTGAATCAATTTGAAATTATAAATATCTACGACCATTCATCTCCTCCTCCTTGAAAGATTTCCAAACTAGGAAGGTTGTGGCATGGTCTACATACAATGATAAGCACACGATCTGGATATCACGACTGGATAGAAAACTCAAAATCAAAAAAATTCAGAGCCGCTGTTGAACTGATTTTACTCTATAGATCAGAGACATGGAGCACTCTCTAAAGGCATAGCAAAACGTCTGGGTGGAGTCTTCTGATGAGAGTTCAAAATCTCTCTTGGAAACGCCATCCGACCATCCACCAAATGTACGGCAGTCTTTCCCGTGTTTCCTCTCTCAGAGAAGCTCGTCAAGCAGATTCGCCGTACGAGAATGAGGTTATCTCCTCTCCCCTACTCTGGAAGCCTGCTTTCAAACCTGACCAAAAACAGAAAACTAATATTCCCTGACTTCATCTCAAGGGATGCAGACATTGGGAGGCAGAACGTGGGGACAGCAATGATGGACCGGGAGGTCTGGCGTAGTATTGTGGACTTCATGATCTCGACCGCGGTCGACACATGAGGATGATGAATTAACCTTGACTGTCACAGCTAGCACGAAGAATATTTACGAGCGTTCTTAAATTTAAAATTTTGAAAACTTTATATTTTTGCTTCTGTTTAGGAATAATTTTTGCAAAATAAATCATTAAATTTGCCTTCAGAGGACGAAACGCGTTGGTAAAGAATGGTTTTCCTGTCTTTATTCATATCGTCTTTTTATAGATATCTTTTTATCTATATATGATTTTTTACGTACCTCATTCTCGTATGCTTACACTATATCTTAATTAGTTATTTCTTTTGTTTCTTTTAGTTATTAATGTGAATTTGATCAAAGCAGCAGTACAAAGATCAGTACCAGTGGGTACTATATTCACTGGGATAGGCCATTAAACTTAGAAAGCGGAAGCCATCAACCGTGTTTCAGCCATCTTGGAAATGCAGAGAAAGAATGACACCCAAGAAAAAAAAGAAGAAACGAAAAACAGCGAGTAAAAATGTCGTATCTTCTGTGAACAATTGCTTATCCTCACATTCCTGGTCCATTCCAGCAAAAAAAGCGACCTTACAAGCCAGCTTTGTACTCACAGACGGCGCCAAATGCGATGATAGGTTATTCGTCCTATACTCTCATGAGAGTGGGAGGCGAAGGTGATAAGTTATTGGTTGATGTGAACCATTATTTGGTGCCCATATTCTTTATTTGATGGAACTGTAACATAAGAATATTTCTGGCTCCAGTCTGTCCAATAAACTTACAACCTTTGATAAACTGTGCGACCTCCGATCCAGAATGAGGTTTTTCTTTTGTTCCATTGATAAATATAACGTTTCCATTTTATTTTCCATTTTTTGGTAAGAAGCGTTTTGTTCTTAACCCCACATACCTTTAAAAACAATTTATTATATTTATTTATATTGTTATAATAAATAACAAAATATAATAAAATGCTTTGCAAAGCTAAATATATACAAATTTTAAAGAATTAAAGAATTATAGAAACTTTAATATTTATAATTTCTATTTATAATTTATATTAACGTTTCATTCGTTAGACTCAAACAATATCGTTAAGGTATACTGACGAAATTTCAACTTGTCATTCGTCCTTTCCGGTCTATATGCTGCTTACTTGACGGTCGTAGAATCTAAAAACGACCTTAGCGTTGCGATAAAATCAACGAAATAAAGAGAATGAAAATCGAAAAAGAGACTGAGAATGTGTATATTTGATTTTACAAGTAAGCAAAAGTAGGTAAGTGTTTAAAAATATCATATTGACTCTATCCTTAAAATATTTATTTATCGGTGATTGAAGACTGACTGAAAAAACAGGCCCCACAGACAATACAGTTGACTTGACCAGGATATATATATATATATATATATATATATATATATATATGAATGATTATATGAACATACAGAGAATTATATAATAAAAAAAAACAGTACGATATATGGATAATGAATATTAGATAGAAGAGATAGATGGAAATTCTGGAAATGGTTTCTAGATAGATAAAAACAGAGACCGATCTGAACAAGCTTAAGTATGTATAAAGAAAGAAAGAAAGAAAGAAAGAAAGAAAAAGAAAAAGAAAGAAAAAGCAAAAGCAAACAAAAAAACAAAAAACAAAGAAAGAAAAAAGATAAACAAAAAGAAAAAGAAAAAAAAAACAAGCAAAAAAACATAAACAAAGAAAGGAAAAAGAAAGAAAAAGAACGTAAGAAAGATAAAGAAACAACTGGTAGAAAGAAATCAAGAAAAAAAAAAGATACATACACCTGTAAAAACCAAAGAAACATAAACAAAGAAAGGACGTAAGAAGAAGATACATACACCCTGTAGAAAGAAAGAAAGAAAGAAAGAAAGAAAGAAAGAAAGAAAGAAAGAAAAGAAAGAAAGAAAGAAAGAAAAGAAAGAAAGAACGTACAAAGAAGATACATACACTGGAAAGAAAGAAAGCAAGAAAAAAAACAAGCAAAGAAACATAAACAAAGAAAGGACGTACCAAGAAGATACATACACCTGTAGAAAGAAAGAAAGAAAGAAAGAAAGAAAGAAAGAAAGAAAGAAAGAACGTACAAAGAAGATACATACACCTGTAGAAAGAAAGAAAGAAAGAAAGAAAGAAAGAAAGAAAGAAAGAACGTACAAAGAAGATACATACACCTGTAGAAAGAAAGAAAGTAAGAAAGAAAGAAAGAAAGAAAGAAAGAAAGAAAGAAAGAAAGAAAGAAAGAAAGAAAACATACAGCCCTGTAGAAAGAAAGAACGTAAAGAAAGAAAGAAAAGAAAGAAAAGAAAGAAAAGAAGATACATACACCTGTAAAGAAAGAAAAAGAAAGAAAGAAAGAAAGAAAGAAAGAAAGAAAGAAAGAAAGAAAGAAAGAAAGAAAGAACGTACAAAGAAGATACATACACTGGTAGAAAGAAAGCAAGAAAAAAAACAAGCAAAGAAACATAAACAAATAAAGAACGTACCAAGAAGATACATACACCTGTAGAAAGAAAGAAAGAAAGAAAGAAAGAAAGAACGAAAGAAAGAACGAAAGAAAGAAAGAAAGAAAGAACGTACAAAGAAGATACATACACTGGTAGAAAGAAAGCAAGAAAAAAAACAAGCAAAGAAACATAAACAAAGAAAGGACGTACCAATAAAATACATACACCTGTAGAAAGAAAGAAAGAAAGAAAGAAAGAAAGAAAGAAAGAAAGAAAGAACGAAAGAAAGAAAGAACGTACAAAGAAGATACATACACTGGTAGAAAGAAAGAAAGAAAAAAAAAGAAAAGAAAAAGAAACATAAACAAATAAAGAACGTACAAAGAAGATACATACACCTGTAGAAAGAAAGAAAGAAAGAAAGAAAGAAAGAAAGAAAGAAAGAAAGAAAAGAAAGAAAGAAAGAAAGAAAAGAAAGAAAGAAAGAACGTACAAAAGAAGATACATACACTGGTAGAAAGAAAGAAAGAAAAAAAAAAGAAAGCAAAAAAACATAAAAAGAAAGAAAAGAAAGGACGTACCAAGAAGATACATACACCTGTAGAAAGAAAAAAGAAAGAAAGAAAGAAAGAAAGAAAGAAAGAAAGAAAAGAACGAAAGAAAGAAAGAAAGAAAGAAAGAAAGAAAGAAAGAAAGAAAGAACGTACAAAGAAGATACATACACTGGTAGAAAGAAAAAAGAAAAAAAAAGAAAGAAAAGAAACATAAACAAATAAAGAACGTACCAAGAAGATACATACACCTGTAGAAAGAAAGAAAGAAAGAAAGAAAGAAAGAAAGAAAGAAAGAAAGAAAGAAAGAAAGAAAGAAAGAAAGAAAGAACGTACAAAGAAGATACATACACTGGTAGAAAGAAAGCAAGAAAAAAAACAAGCAAAGAAACATAAACAAATAAAGAACGTACCAAGAAGATACATACACCTGTAGAAAGAAAGAAAAGAAAGAAAGAAAAGAAAGAAACGAAAAGAAAAAAGAAAGAAAAAGAAAAAAAGTACAAAGAAGATACATACACTGGTAGAAAAAAGAAAAAAAGAAAGCAAGAAAAAAAAAGCAAAGAAAAACATAAACAAATAAAGAACGTAAAAGAAGAAGATACATACACCTGTAGAAAGAAAGAAAGAAAGAAAAAGAAAGAAAGAAAAAAGAAAAAGAAGAACGAAAGAAAGAAAGAAAGAAAGAAAGAAAGAAAGAAAAGAACGAAAGAAAGAAAGAACGAAAGACATACACTGGTAGAAAGAAAGAAAGAAAAAAAAAGAAAGAAAAAAGAAACATAAACAAATAAAAAGAACGTACCAAGAAGATACATACACCTAGAAAGAAGAAAGAAAGAAAGAACGAAAGAAAGAAAGAAAAGAAAGAAAGAAAGAAAGAAAGAAAAGAAAGAAAGAAAGAAAGAAAAGAAAGAAAAAGAAAGAAAGAAAGAAAAAGAAAGAACGTACAAAGAAGATACATACACTGGTAGAAAGAAAGCAAGAAAAAAAACAAGCAAAAAAACAAATAAATAAAGAAAGGACGTACCAAGAAGATACATACACCTGTAGAAAGAAAGAAAGAAAGAAAGAAAGAAAGAAAGAAAGAAAGAAAGAAAGAAAAACAAAATCAAGAAAAAAGAAGTAAACAAAAAAAAGAACGTCGAAAGTTGATAATTATACGTGTAGAAAGAAAGAAAGAAAGAAAGAAAAGAATTAAAATAGAAGAAAGAAAGAAAGTCAGCAGTAATGAAAGGAAGTAAAGAGAGAAAGAAAGCAAAGAAAGAATGAATGTTGAAAGGCAAGAAAGAATGAATGTATGAAAGAAAGAAAAAGTCGAGAAGGAATGTAGAAAGAAGGAAAAACGTAAGGAAGCAAAGAAAGAAGGACAGTAGGAAGTAGCGAAAGCAAATAATGGAGGAAGGAAGGAAATAAGGATAGAATGAATAAAAGGAAAGACATGAATTTAGGAAGTAAATAAAGAAATGGATATGTGCATATTTCAAATATGACACCAGAAAAGTCAATAAATATCTGATCTCTTCCACGAATGTGACCTTTACATTCTTAAGGCCTAAGTGAATAACTCTTTGGACACTGACACGAACCAACCCCCACGTTTTAGTTGTACATTCCTAAACAGTCATACCATATTTAATGATCCCCCATTATACTGGCACACGGCTATTGCAGTAAGCCAGCCAACAAGGATCAGTACACTAGATCTACTAAAAAAAGTTCGTATCTCTGTCGTGCTAGACAATATTACTCTCCAAAATCTATCTCTATCTATAAAAGTCAGGATATGTGTGTGTGTGTGTGTGTGTGTGTGTGTGTGTGTGTGTGTGTGAATAATGCACGGCCGCAATTTTCGACGGATTTGCACCAAAATTTACATTCACATGCTCCAAGTTAGCAGGAAGGCCAAGACCGACTTTGCATTTCCCAGGTCCCATCGATAGTGGAAATAATAGATATTTTCATGCTTCTACGGCAGTTTTCATGTAGTTTGCGGCCATTTTCTACTGGCCAGAGTGAGAGCGTATAGCTGGATGCCACGAATAGCCAGGAAGGTTCTATTGGCCAGCGTGAGAGCCAATAGCTGACTGACACGAATGTTAACTAGCATGCTAGCATGCAAAAAAATTCGATAGCTGCATTCGTCACAAGTGGGATAAATTTAAATCTGCATTGCAATTTACTCCAATTGGCTCATTCGCAGAACTGGGTTGGTTGTGAAAAAGTATCTGTTGTTAATATTCTTTTTTCATTCGGTTTTTCCAGTTACGAGTCTTTTTTTAAAGCTGATCGTTTTGTGTTCATTTTGTTTAGTTCTTTTTTCATAACAGATTTAATGTTTAGTATAGAGCTTAGAAAAAATTCGCAGTGTGATATAGGCAAGAAGTAAGGCATGTAGCAATATCAGCACGGCAAAGGGCAATTCTTTAAAGGCAAGGAAGGGCAAAAACATTCTAAGTCAAGTGATAGCAATTGCTGTATGAGTCGTACGATTTTTGAATCAAATACGGGCAACACCGGGCCATGCTGTTAGTCCTACATATGCATAAGTCTACCATTCGCCCATCCTTAGAATATCGCTGCCACGTATGGCTCATTGATAAAAAAAAAAAAAACGACAAAGAAGAATCAGCAATATTATTGGCCCCGATCTTGCATCTCGACTTCAGTCACTTTCCCACCACTGTAAAGTTGCCTCTCTGTGCATTTTCTATAAATACTTTCATAATAATTGTTCAGATGAGATCTTCGCTATGTACCGAGACTTTATGAATATAAGCGCAGTGCTAGACTGGCAACGAGGCCTCATCGATATATAGTTGAGTTGGCTAGATGTAACCCTAAATTCTATGCTAAAGGTTTCTTTTCTCGCACTTCTCGTTTGTGCAACTCCCTTCCGGCTCCATGCTTTCCAGCCAACTTTAATCTCCAAAAATTTAAATGCAATGTCAATCGCTATCTACCGTCCTCTAGATTATTCTTATGTACTCGCTCCTAAGTGGTGTTACTGTTTTCTAATTCTTTCACACCCAGTAACCCCTTGTGTTTTAATGACCTTGCTCGATTGAAAAATAGTTGTTAAAATTTATGTTCAAGAAATTTAGTTATACTGTTAGAGTACACAAAATGTCTTAACAATATTTTATACATTTCTTAATAATATTTAATTACGAAAAAACAATACGACTTTTTAAACATTGTTTTAAATAATAGTTTCAGGCTTATTTTTTAGTGGCAGTGTATTTTGGCTCAGACCTTCTGAGGCTGACCTTTGAGCTCAGATGTCGACAAAATAGGGATGTCGATTTTGATTGGTTGAGCCGAACGTAAAAATTTTGGAGAGAAAGAATGTGATTTCGGGGAGTTAAGTTTTTACACGTCATACAGAGGAGACATGGTTATTTTGTGTCTATGGGAATTTGCTCTCCAGTGGGGGTGACAGAACGAGGCCAATGGCTAGTTAAAAACGTCGACGTGTTTAATAAAACAGATCAGTTTAAAATCCCTTTTGTTAAAGTTTTATCTCTGAACAAACCAACTAGCGATCATCCGGCCGAGAGAAGAAAGAAGAGAGAAGATATAACATTATGGAATCGATCCAGTCAACCAAGAGACCCCCAGAACAAGGAGGCTATACAAAAATCGAATGGTTATTGGAGACCGCCAGATTAATCAGAAGCGAAAGTGGTCATAGGTAAACAACCACTGCCCTTAAATGATAAGAAAATAGGATTCAAGGAAACAAATGACGATTGACGTTGCATTAACTTTTTTGTAAATTTTATTTGACGAGAAAACAAGAAGCTGGAAGAGAGTTCCATATGCGAGAAGTCTCATAGAAGAAACTAGTTTCTCTTGCGGAACTCCCTTCCGACTCCATGCTTTCCAGTCAACTTTAATCTTTAAAAATTTAAATGCAATGTCAATCTACTGTCCTGAAGGTTTACAAATTTTCTGGATTCGGTCCTCGGTTGGATTACTCCACACCTCGTAACTCCTTGTGTCTCAGTGGCTCTGTTGCCTTGCTTGGGGTGAACGTGATTTTTAAAAATAAAAGACACCGAAAATCAATAACGGATACGAAGAAATTGCGGTCTGAAGATTGGGTTACGATAATCTTCCAAACATAGAGACCGCGTATAATTCTTGCTTTTGATCTAGGATTAAACATCGATCGCTGGTGTTTATGGGAAATACGCATTTCAACCGCGGAGTGTGAACGAATCTATAATCACGATAGCATTAAGGAAATAATGTATTTGTCTTGAGTAGATGTGCGTCTTGGTGTATACTATAATCTTTAAACGTCTATAAATATTTCTTTTTTTTTTGTTTTTCTTTTCTCTTCTGTCTGCTTTACTTACGTTTGAATGTTCGTATTGTCATTCTCTTTATTTTTTTTTTTCGAGAGCAGTTAAAGCTTTCCATTTGAGAATAAAGATTCAATGCAGAACACAAAGTCAACAACAGAAATAAAACATTACCATAAAAACAAGGTTCTTCTTCTTAAAGATTTCTTGCAAGAAATGACAGTTATTATGCCTCAATGTCCTTCGAGCCGTCGTCACAGAAAGCTGCACTTTTTGGGAAAATAAGAAAGGCGTTTATATAAAACGCCAATAAATTTATAATCAGCGTGAGCCATGAAAGAAAGGCTTATTCTTTATTTTCCCCATTATGAGCGTTATTATAAACGTAATATAATAACACCGTACTTCCCGGACGGAATGAAATAGCTGAAAGCATTAGGTATTTAAAATAGGCTTTCTTCTCAGAGGGAGTTCTATAATACTACGTCGTACATAAAATTATATTTACACGTGTCCCACGCAAAGAAATTATAACATATATGCAACAACATTGTTTGAAAAAAGGGTAATCTAACGCCACAACGCCATCGATACACTTCGACGTGGTATAATGGTTAGTATGCTTGTCTTTCTAGATTAGTTACGACTGAGTAATGAGTTCGATCCTTACTGAGTGCCCCACATTTTCGGCCAATCGCCACGTTTAAGCTACGCTTAGAAAATCCTTATTGTTCGCAAAGACGTGGTGTAATGGTTAGTAAGCTTGTAAAGCTAAATCAATTATGAGTAGCGAGTTCGATTCTCACTGGGTGCTCCACCCTTTCGATATTTTGCCACGTCTAATCTTAGAAAATCAACATATCAGAGATATCGCGTTGCTATTTCTAAAGGATCGGGGACAACAAGCGTCATCCAATCTATGGAATGAGAAGGATCTTATTTCTTTTTTTTTCTGGCGTGGAGCATCACTTTGTAAACGTTTATCCTCATCTTGATTAATTTCCACAGTTCCTCAAAAATGTCCTCTTCCATGTTTAACATACGACCGTCTGTAGCTGCAATATCTTTTAAATGTCAAACAGCTAACACTCATATCTTAAATGTTAAGTTTTAAGTAGGTAACACTGTCATATCTTAAGTGTTAAGTGATAAACAGCTAACAATGTCATATTGTTATTCATCATTCTACATTCATTAAAACGAATACAATTTCATCATCAAATAATATTTGCAAGAGATTTGCGAAATGTAAGGTAATGTTTAATTATCTAAAATGATTATTACTCTAAAAATGAAACATTTTGCATATGTTATCAGCGATTACGAGCAAGTTTTTTTTATGTAGTCACCATCGAGATTGGTGGAATTGTGAGATTGGTCCATGATCGCATAAATTCCCACCTGGAAGTGCATGATGTCAAATGTCTGTTACCACCCTTTCACCTCTACAAAAACATCTTCATCTGTGTGGAAACTATTACGTAATGAGGTTTGTTTCTTTGACCTGAAAAAATCGTCAGAGTGCTCAAAAAATTCAGATGTAAGCACTTTATGAGGATACATGAGCAGGATAACCGTTATCATTAGACATAAAGCGGGTAAGATTGTTGTTTTTAGAAAACATCTCCTAGGGAATAGACTCGTACAATAAAGCTAA